TTAGACTGATATCGGGCAACGCAGTGACTCGCTTCAACACGCGCTCGGGTGGGGCGGGGTCAAATTGATCCCCTCGAAGAGTTTCCCAGAATGGATTCCGAACATTCGCGGCGTAGCCGCACCAAATTTTGCATAACTGTAGAAAATTGAATAGTAGATCGTATGACATCTAAAATTTAGATGTACCTTGTAAGGTCGCTGACCTATGGCAGGTCGAAGTCAGGCCTTGGTTTCAGCGAAGGCAATTTCTAGGAAATCCTTTAATCTAATCCAACAACGAAATGTTAGACGAGGCCATACATCTCTGAGATGCTTTCTTAGGCAACATAACGGCTGAATGAGCAAATAGCATTGATCTAAGGTCAGGTATGAAGGTCATACCAAGGTCAAAACAAACCTGTTTTGTTACTCTAGGGCTTGCTGTATGGGATAGCTTCTGGTGCTAATTTCAAATTTATTGATAGCAGGAACCGCATAATACATCTTCCAAGGACTTCTTAAAGGTCCCAATAGGCCATTGACCTAAAATGACTCATGTCAACATTTTGTTTTAGGAACATGCTTGCTAGCGTAATCTTTGTCGCTTAGTCAAATGCAAAACTCAAAACAATCTTGTATGATTTTGCTCACCTTGACCTTCAAAAGGTTAAACAAGTTCACTGGCCTTGAATGATCATGTGATCTTTCGCTTAGAAACGGTTGTCTAGGTTCTGGGGGCACTTTGGAGACCAACCTGGAACTTGACCTTGTTTGACCTTTTTGACACGAAGATCATGACCTAGGAACCTGAAAATTTGACCTAAGTGAGTTCACGTACGGGTTAACATACTTCGTAAATTTGGTGTCTCTAGCTCTTTTAGTTCCCGAGATCTCAGTGGGGGTCAAATTGACCCCTGCCGCCCGAGCGAAGGGTATCTAGCCGGCCATCCGGCCGCGTGTTAAGCTTCAAATTGGTCCCCGAGCACGCAACGGATGGTATGAAAGCAGGCTCGTGATATTTCACGCCGCTCCTCTCCATCGTTTTGTGTGTGCGTGCTTTTCCTAAGCCCGGAAACTTTAAGAGGAAGGACTTCCGTCCTCTATCAGCCGTCTTCGTCGCCATTAGGGTTTTGAAACGCGCTCAGCTGCTGGCGCTATGTGACATCGCCTGCCTCTCACCCTGGCAGGAAGGACGGACACCGCAGGGACGTCCTCTCGGCTAAGCCCGGCTGACGCCTAAGACAAGGCTTGTCTGCGTTCTAACTAGAAACTTCTTCACATCAGCGCTTTTGGAAAGACGATCGTTCGAAGATGTGACGATGCTCGATTGAAATATACCTTAAAAAGCAAAATTCATCAAAATCTTCCTACAAATTGTCATTTGTGGAGTACGGCAATGATCTCATGGTGCGGCAAAGATTTCATATACTTGCGCTTTCATGCAAGGCACCTACATAAGCAAATTCTCCAGATGTGCATTTTTTCGAGTTTTTTAATGGATGCATTCCTGGGATCAGAGGCTACGCTATGTATTACTTGTTTGAGCTCTGACCCCTACCATCCGATCGGGCAGTTCCAGGTCCATGGCAGAATTTGGTGGCGAAACCTTAACGTGACGCAACGCTCGGCATGGCCCGTCCTGCCTCTGATGCCTCCTGACCTCAAGCGCATCCACTGCCACCGGCTGCAGGCCATACTTATCAACGGCAAGTAGCTAGCGCCTGGAGCGATTCGAACCCACCCCGCCACGGGTGGAAGAATCAGAAGGCAGGCACTATAACCAACTGGGCCAGCGGAACGGAGGGCAATGACAACGAAATTCCGTCGTCGTCCGAGTCGTCGTTGGTAATACTCATGACTCATGGGTAATATAGCTCATTCATATTTATAAACTATATATATATATATATATATATATATATATATATATATATATATATATAAACAAGTAATGGGGATGGGACGCCATATAGCAGGGAGCCCATTTCCAGACGAGTTTTCAATGAAGGTATTAAAGTCAAGGTAAACCGAAAGTGAAGTTTCAAAATCGGACATGAATCACGAAGAGCACATCTTATTAATCTAGATATGTCGTTTGTTATCTTGTAAATTCATACTAAGGTTACCAGTCGCAGCAGCTGCGTGTTTTACATCACGGTCACAAAAGCATGCGTTACATACACGACGCGTGCACTGTATGAGACTTTTATCACAAGGTAGGGTACATAGATCTGCTTATTAAGCTTTGATAAAGTCTGCTTATTAAGCTTTGTTTTGTAGTCTCTGTGCCTTAGGCTGAAGGAGGAAAGTGTGTCTTCAGTTCGTTCAGCTTTACCACGCACTTGGGTGAGGAGGCGGAGAGGGGAGGGGTCAATTTGGCCCCCAGCTGGTCAATTTGACCACGGAAATTTTTTACAGAATAACTTCCGAACGTTGTGGCGTAGCCACGACAAACTTTGTACAGCTGCAGGCAGTTCAATAGCGGAGCTTTTGGTATGCCAAATCATATGTACCTTGTGAGTTCAAAGCCAGACCGTGGCTGTCTGCGGAGACAACTTTAAGGGAATCTTTCAACCTGATGTGGCAACCGGGTGTTGGACGAAGTCATGCATTTCTGCCACAGTTTTATATACAATACAACAATTAATTTAAGAATGCAACGAACTCCGCTCTCCTTGCGTCAGGTATGAAGGTCAGCATATAACACGCGTGAAAACATGCAGACGTGAGCACTGGCTCGTGACGGCATCTGTTTGTTAATAAAAGGGCCAAGGCATGCGAGGTAGCTGAATCCGTTGGATCCACGGGAGCATCCGAGTGCAATAGGGCCATCCCTTCCATACCGAAAACCACGTGCTGAGGATCATTTTGTCTTCAATCCCTTTTATGATGTGTTTGTTCATATTTACCCCAATCCACAGCACTTAATTATGCACATATTTTGTCCAATGAACTGTTTCCAGTTTGGCCCTTCACAGTGTCCCCTTCCACACTTTGTCTCCTGCTTCTTTCCGATTCGACTTGCGTCCGTGTCAACTTTCATCGTTTTCGACTTTTTGTCCTTCAATCCTTCATTCTACTTTTTTCCTGTCAACTTGCATCCTTTTCAAAATGTTGTGCCTGGACTTTTTCGTTTCGCTTTTTGGATCGACTTCTATCCCTTTGGACGTTCAGTCCTTAAATTTTTCCGATCTGACCTTTATCCCTGTGGACTTTTATCCCATTCGAATATTTGCGGCCGGCGTGTTTCGTTTGACTTCTTCCATTCAACTGTTTAATCCGGCAACCATGTGAGGTATGTACTCGGCACTCGTACGAAGCCTCATTAGGTTGGCACTTATGCCCGCTTATGGCTGGTGCGTGAAGCCCCTCACATGTGGGGCGTCGCGAAGGTGCAGGATGAAGCGGCATGAGGAGAGAAGATCGAATCCTACTTCTTTCAATATTTGATGCTTATTGAGCAGGACGCTGCATTAGAAACGCACGACACAAAGCGCAAAATTAGCTTTTTTCTTTTTTGAACTGTGCGAAAATAAATCGGGATTTGATAGCTGGCTCTGGTGGCGACGCCGTGGGGAATTCATCGATTCGGAATTCAATCAGACTTTGAGACTGCAAGGGGGAAGCACTCTTCCGTGCGCGGCAGAGCATGCTACCATTAGGTAATAAATAACGTTGCACATTTCAATCCATCTTATTTTGTAGGCTGGTCATTTAGCACTTTGGTATGCTGTTAAAGAACTAGCCCTCACGGAATTAAATTGGCTAAATTACAAGACGTCCATGCGTTTAATGGATGGATATCATGTAATCAGCACACATCAGGCGCGCAACAGTGATTTGATCACAATGAAGCATGTGGCAATCCTATTAATACCACAAAAGTTTTCTATACCACAATTACAACAAACTTGACCCGGCCGTTATTTAAGGAACGCATTTTATGCTTGATTGAAACATATATGATTGAAACAAGTTGCTTTTAGCACCAAGATCATGAAAACATTGGTCAAAGTGAGCTATTTATGAGTTATTGAAAATAATTGAGCGTTGTTGAGCAGCATTGACCATTAGGATGTTGCTGATTACGATTGTTGTTGCCGCGACATAGCTGGACGGAAAGAAATGTGGTACGCCACCGAATTCAGACCAACATTTTCGCACGCCGCTCGCGGGTCACGCAAAAATAGTAACTTAAGTAAAGCACCACTGTTTCTACACGGGATACTGTGCCCTTTATCCAATGATGAAAAATTATACTGGAGTAGGCTGTGGTATTCAACCGAATGACTTGCTCTTCAAACCCCGTCACTGGGCTCATTAATGTAGCCGGATGTTTACCGTCCCATAAACAGAAAACATAAATGTTTGTCGTGTAAAGCAGCGCATCTCCCGACACAAGAACACGTCCCAGAAATAGAAAAAATCGTGTTTGCTTTCACCGCCAGATAAAAACAGCAGCTGTTGAGCGGATAAACGATGCGATAGATTTTACACTCCTAAGGCCATAAGATGCGCAAAGGCTCGAAATGTTAGACTGAAAAGCTCTGGAGTACGATAATGACATTAGCCATCCATAACTAACCCAGTCCCCGTCCCTCCTGTAAAAATCCGTGCCCCCGCCCATGGCCACCACAGAAGAGTGCGCACGTGCCTCCAGTGCCCCCTTCTAGATCCGCCCCTGCACGACTAATAGCTGCTCAAATTAACTAGTTTTTTATTATACGAAATTTGAATATGACTTGCCCGTCGTCAAAACGCATAAATTGACACCACTGCCTCAACACCAACATTTCGGGCAGTTCCAATTCATTTCAGACAAGCACGGCAACCGCAACCCGCGGCCGGCGTTCCACTCTAAAATCCGGTCGAGCAGGCGCACAGCATCTGCTGCGGAGTTTGAAGGTCAAAGTCAAGCCTCGTTTGCGTCATCCTCAGCGCTCATCTGACGCCGTTCGTTTGGTTACGCCAGGCAAGTATCTGTGAACGACGCCGGTGAGCAGAGCTCGAGGGCACCTCAATCTCATCGGGGCAGTCGACGGGTTAGAGCGAGACTGTGAGGGAACTCCGAACAGCATGCTGACGGCAGTACTGGTGTTCGTCTTGGCGCTGGTTACGTACGCGGTTCACAGCGCGCTAAGGACCAGTCACCATCCACCGGGTGAGTGGGCCACGACCGCCGCCGCCGGTGGCGCGCGCAGGCCCTCCAATTTTCGCGGTATGTCGCACCGCCGACACGGGTGCGGAGGGTCAATGCTTGTTGCGTACAGGCGTTGATGAGGCTCCTAAGCCCGGCGATCAGCTGATGTTTGGCCAGTGTTAACCCTCTAAACCCGACCGACCTCTGGTGATGTTTACAGGGAACGGTTTGGGAAGCGATGAGGTTTCTTGAAACGGGTCTGTTCACACACATTAAGTCGCTTTCGGGTGGCATTGTTCTGAAGGGGTATGAAGGGAAGACATTTAGAATCGGTCGTTTAGACATAACAACTGTGTTATTTCGCTGCAGCTACCAAAAGCGACTGTCTTGGCTATGTCCACGTTTAAATACAAACACGTGACGACCATGCTGAAAAGGGGCAGGGGCTAAAAAGCCGACGTATGAAGCAGACACGCTCGTCCTCCGAAACAGCTACACTGATCGCCTTGAAACCCTTACTAATTTATCAAATGCGTTGAATGAAGTGGCAATATCATGCACTAATCTGGGGTAGAACACCGCCAAAACGTGAGGGGAAGATTTCGCATGCGTAAGCAGACAACTCAGATCTCAGAACCTACTGCTTTGGTTGTTGTGAAAACCTGGCCATTGGATGTACCATACCTGATTCCCTGTTGCCGTCAAAAATTAGGTTGCTATGGCATGTCAAAATTCATCAAATTTCACAAATTCCAACATTCTTCCTTGCAGACAACTCAGTCAAAAGTTATTTATCGGATCATCTCCCAACCTTCACTGTTCGATAGGACATGCCAAGAAGTTGTGGTGTATGTCACGAGGCCATGGGTCATTGTTTTTTTAGTGCCCAAGCGCGCAGACATTTTTTAAGATTTTTGCAGTTGTGCACATTACAACAACATTTGTACATATTTTGCGCGCAAATGCAAGGGCATCGCCTTCGTGTTGGGTGAGCAAAGACACACAAAACACTGCACAAGACATTCCGTTTTCGGCACACTTGGGACAGCCGTAATCGTAATCGTAAATGTAATCGTAATGTAACATATATCCTTGAGATATTCAGCTCTCCCTGACTGTAGATTGCAGATGAAGTGGGGTTCATAATTTGTGTTAGCATGGCTAGCCCATGTTCATCTTATAATGCTCAAGATCCTGTCAGAGCTGATCACTGATAATATATCTACGTAATATGGTGTTGAACATGCGTGCTCGCAAATCATAGCAATAACGGCCTCGACGCCCGGCGTTGTAGTCTCCAGACAGTGCGGCGCCGGCCTTGTGGCTGTAACACTAAGTGGTGGCCAATGGACAAACGAAAAAGATAACGCATCTTAAGGGAGATGGCTGGTGAACTAGGTAAATCGGCATGCATGTTTAATGCAGTGCAAAAGTAAGCCAAATGCAACCTTTATCTGAAAAGTGGGGGGGGGGCAGTTAACAGTGCTGGCCCCACCTTGAAAAGTGTGGGGGTGGGGGGGGGGGGGGCATGGCCCACTGGTCCTCCCTGCTCCTACGCCCATGCTATGCGGTATCTATCCCCGACACTATGCACCATTCAGCACCTGACTTTCAGCAGAACACATCCGCCGAAATTCGAATAACAAAGGACGTCACTGACCTAATAACGCCAGCCCAACCAAGTTGCATGCTTTCTTGAGATTCCACATACAAAGGAAAAGGTATAATTGTGAACGGCACCATATTTGCGGCCCCCATAGAGAATCAGGTACGGTGCATCCAATGATGAATATCTTACAGCGATTAGCGTAGAAGGTTCTGAAATCTGTATTGTCAGCTTTTGCGTGTGAAATTTCCCCTCCACGTTTTGGAGGCGTTTGACCACAGGTCAGGTCATGATCTTATCATCCCATTACTCACCTCACTGCACTGAATCGATTGGTGGAGGTTCCGAGGTGATCAGATGAGATGCTTCGGAGAACGAGCGTGTCTGGTTCATGTGTCAGTCTTTTAGTCCCTGCCTGAAAGGGGCCTTCAGTACTCCCTGGCAATCTGTGTCCGAGGGGCACAAGTGAATATGGACAGATGTGATCTGTGATACGCCATGTCACGTCACAGGCATGAAGGGCAGTGGGCAAGAGGACGTTCGAGTTATCTTCCAGAGCTGCCAGATTTGTGCCATAAAAGAGAGTGCTCCACATGTATATGGGGTTTTGAACCAAAGTAATCCTCTTGAGCTTCATCCAATGCAGTTCACAGTCCTGCCCTTCTAAAAACCTAAGCTTCTACCGGTTCTGAGTTTTGGACCCGCGAATGTGCAAAATAATTTTGGCGACACTATTTCAAGGTAATGCAGTCATCTATCACGCCATAATAACGTCATTCAAATGCTGCCATTCCACTAGCCATGCGGCGATCAAGGCCAAGAAAAATATGTTTGTCGAGTCGTTCATATCTGGCATTCTTGAGCATGATTTCCAGATATAGCGTCCGTTTATTGGCTCTCAATCAATGTTTTGCAAGATGTGATGTGGTGATCAAACAATGACGCATTCAGAAGCATATTTGCTAAACAGAGAAACTGTGTTGTCTAGAGCAGTCTTTTCCTCTTAAAAGTAAACCAATAGTTATAGATGAGCTTATTCCATTACGTCTAATGCTTGCTTCGAATCTTCAAATGTGTGGCATTCCCTGTGTTATGGAGACTTTGGGAGATAAAAGTAGCGTCAAATCTGTAATGAATATGAATATTCTAGTACCGTGCGCCGTGCTCATATTGTACCATATTAAAGTACCGTGCTCAACACCTTTCACAAATTATTCCGGGGAACTTTAGAGGGAGGATCCAAGGTTTTCTTCGTAGGCCGAGGAGTTAAAAGATCAATCGCATTAATATCTGACCTTTTAGGTTGTATGTCTCGCCGCTCATCGGGCTTACATCTAATTTCCGGGGAATCCAGTCTTCCGGAACTTGCACATCCTCGAGAGTTCCACATGACACACCAATGACGGTCCCACATTGTTCCAGGTCCCAGGGGTCCACCATTCATCGGCCAGGCCCTCTCCATAGACTGGCGGCACCGGGAACGGACGTACATGAAATGGTTTAAGAAATACGGCCCCATTTTCAAGGTCAACGCTGGTCCAGAAACGTTAATTGTTCTCTCAGACCCAGAACTGATCAGGGAGGCTTTGAACAAAGCAACAACGAGTGACAAATCCACCAACGAATTCTTCAAGCTGCTCTACGCCGACAAAGGAATTATCTTCTCTAGTGGTGACCTTTGGCGGCTTACGCGTCGTTTCACCCTCTTTCATCTGAGGAACTTTGGCATGGGGAAGTCAAGGTTGGAAGCTGTCATGCAGGACCAGATCAATGACTTCATCAACGTTGTGTTAGCTCCCAGTGAGGGGAAGCCTATATTGCTCGACAACAGTATGAATGTAGCTGTCTTCAACATTCTCTGGGGAATCGTGGCTGGAGAAAACCTGGACATTAAAGACACCAGAATTCTGATGGTAATGGACAACCTGAACAAGATGAACGAAATCGCGGACCGCTTCGTGATCTTCGCGGCCATGCCGGCACTGTTGAAGCTGCCGCACCGTATGACCGGACTGGACCGGCTCCTCAAATACTTTCACTACCCGATCGACAACCTGCTGCAGCCGGCGCTCGACCAGCACCGTCGTACCGTCGACCTGGACAGCGAGCCGCGCGACTACATCGACTGCCTCCTGCAGGAGCAGAGCAGAAACCCAGCCCTCTTCACTGACAGCCACCTCCTGCGCACCATCATCGACCTCTTCTTCGCCGGCGCCAACACGACGACCACCACGCTCCGCTGGGCCTTCTGCTTCCTGTGCGCGCGTCCCGACGTGCAGGAGCGCCTCGCCTCCGAGCTGCACCGGGTGGTGGGCGAGGGGCGCGCGCCCACGCTCGCCGACCGGCCGCAGCTGCCGTTCACCGAGGCCGTGCTGATGGAGACGCAGCGGTTGGGCGACGTCGCGCCCACGGGGATGATGCACCTCTGCAGCGAAGAGTTCCAGCTGGGTGGCTACACGGTGCCGCGGGGCGCGCAGGTCCTCCCCCTGTTCACGGCTGTGCACCAGAGCGAGGCGCTGTTCCCGGACGCGGCCCAGTTCCGGCCGGAGCGCTTCCTGGACGCCGAGGGCAAGCTGCAGCCGAACCGCGCCCTTATGGTCTTCTCCGTGGGCAAGCGGGCCTGCCTGGGGGAGGCGCTGGCGCGTGCCGAGCTCTTCCTCTTCGTCACCACGGTGGTGCACAAGTTCCGGCTGCGCTTCCCCGACGGCTTCACGCACGACTTCGGTATTAACCAGAACAGGGCCCTCATCAATGAACCGAAGGAGTATTCGTTGATCGTGGAGAGGCGCTGATTCCAAGCAGCAATGATTTGGTTCGGATGCGTTCATGAAGCTCTGTGTTTCCATTTATGTCAAACTAAAACGATTCAAATGGTAGACAAGCAAGCATGCCCACGGTGCCAAGTTGACATGCCGACATGCCGACTATTGTGCCATGCTGACATTGTGCACTGGCAAAACTCAGTGGGCAAAAGCAAAATAAGCATATTTACTCAGTTCAGCAAACCATTTTTAGCCTGACATGAGTGCAAGAGTGACTTAATTATATGATGACTATGAGGGTTAGAGCGGATAGTAAGTTAATGTGAGAGTAATAGTAAGTTGAAACTGAAATGGAGCCAGGGGTGTAGTTTCCTATTTAGTTGGGGGCTTGAGCCCCCCCCCCCCAACTTGGGCTTCAGTTCCCCAAATCTTGGGGAGAAAATGGGCGGCATCCCAGGAGAAACTTGTTTATTGGCATATTTTTGGGGTGAATTGGGGTGAATGGCATATTTTCGGCTCCATTTCAGTTTTTGGGAGAAACTTGTTTATTGGCATATTTTTGGGGTGGGCTGGGCAATTTTTCACTGTCGAGCCCGCCCCTCCACCTTCCGCAACTCATTTCGCGAAGCCACGCCTCTGAATGGAGCGAGCCAAATATCATAATCAAATACCTCTGCCAACCGTGGTTGTAGTGGTGAGCATATGTTACATTCGCGTGTTGATTAGGTATGAATGCTGTCAGCAGCCATGAACGTTTGCAATTATCACAGCGCGCGGCATTAAAAGGACGAAAGGCCACGGAAGTGGAAGTGGCTACGGCTCACCCGCCGCAGCGACTTACCAATCGCGTTGAATGCTAATGCCAAATAAACGTCGGAAGGTTATCTGCAGAGAGGTGTTGGCGGTGCTGTTGTATGATTGAGAAAGTGTGAATGAAGTGGAAGAAGTACGCAGAACTTGAAAATGAAAGGGCTTGTCGTCGAAATACACATTTGCTTTCCTTTCAGACCGGTTCGTCTTCTTAGAACGTTACCGCTGTGATATGCTCGTGGGCAGCACGAGTGGTGTCTGTTCGTCGCAACAAATCATACCACATACCACAGATGAGTACAGAAGTACCACATACCACAGATGAGTACAGAAGTGCTGAAGGCTTCCTCCGTAGAAGCCACGAATTTGTGATCCCTGCACAGATCTAGGAACCGCAGAGACAGGGAAGGACCCGTCACCGCCTCCAGACGGCAAAAAGTTGCTTCCTTGGCAACACCAGTTGGGGGCATTCTGAAACGCTGCAAGAAGTCCAAGGAGACAAAGGAGCGTGTTGAAAAAGGTATCTCCTCCCCGCGGTTATGGCCGAGCCCTCAAACCTTGGCTACCGAGGGGACGGAGCGTTCCGCCAGCCCAAGCGTCCAGCGCATTCCATCGTTCGCGCCTTTCCCGTGAGGCACGTTTCCGTCTTCCATCCTCCCGTGCGGAAACAGTCCGACGGTCTGGTCACTGCGCATATTTCACTGGCCCTGTCCCGTCCCCCCCCCCCCCCCCGTAGTGCGAAGGCTGTATAGGGCAGATCATTGACGGAGATAGAACAGGAGACACTCGAATTGAGCAGGAACAGGGGTTGCAAGACGCTAAAACGCAGAACGGGCGACTTTCAGTTGGATTTGTCCGCATCCTCACCCGCAGGAGTTTTGTGCCCGGTATCAATTTTTCGGAGTCGGTTACGCCGCGATATCACGTTTTGTGACGTCAATTTAAAACAAACGCTGTTTGGAAGAAGAAAGGCCTGTCGCAGTTTAAAACAAGCGGCAAGTGTGCACATGAGGCAAAAATCCACTTATTTGCGTCACGATGCTTCAAACACAACTGGACGAAAAGTTATAAGATATGGCGACCAATATCAGAATAGTGTGTACCGCGATCCATAGCTTCTGCTCACAATGCGCTGATCCTTAAATAAGTGAGCGCGCACGTGAGGTGTGCGCACCGTTGCACGGCAGGTACTGCCGGGAAGTCGGGGCGGGGAAAATTGCGAGATAGAAGATCTTGTCCACTTGAGCTTATTTGATCATCGACAAGACCCAGGTTTTCTTAATCTCGCATCGTGCTCATGGAAGGCCCAGATGCATGAGCTCAGGATGATATATCCATTACTTTAAAAAGTAAAACGTGGACATGATGGGTGTCACTTCTAGAGTATCAAAAAAAAACAAACTTAAAAGGCACACCTTCAACAATCATGGCTGCAGCAGTGTTTCGTTGTAAAATAGTCGTTTTGTGGCGGGATGAAGATAACAAGAGGTACGTCACAGAATGGTAAATAACCAATTGGCGGAAAAATAGGTTTCGTTGATACCAACAACGTCTTCATATTCATATTGTTGTCTGTTATTGGTGTTTGTGCTTGTGTTACTACATATAGAAAATCGCTAAACTCTAAAAATGTCTAAGTTAATGTGAGAGCCTGTGCATTCAGTGAGTTATGTGATTTAGGAGCATGTGTTCTTGAATGGGCGAAGGAGACAGGCTGTGAACTGTTAGAACTGTTAGAACTGTTAGAAGAGCTGTTAGGAGACAATCCAGCACGCTTTTCGACCTCCGAATGTCCCACTTTCCGTTAATGCTTGACGTCAACCCTGTAACGACGCATGCATGTATGTATGTATGCAGTGACGTTTAAAACACTCTTCAACATAAAATGGCTATTCTGAATGTCGAGTCCATAAGACAAAGAGGAGAGACATGTTAAAGGGGTTGTCCGTAGCAACGATCGCACAGGAATACATCAAAGACACATGTACGAAACAAACCGCAGGTACAAACACACACACGCACACATACACACACACACACACACACACACACACACACACACACACACACACACACACACACACACACACACACACACACACACACACACACACACACACACACACACACACACACACACACACACACACACACACACACACACACACATATATATATATATATATATATATATATATATATATATATATATATATATATATATATATGCATATAGTCATTAACTTCCAGTTAAAAGTTAATCGTTAAAAGATGCGAGTGACAAGGTGAGGCAAAATATTGTAAATATGTACTGCACCGTACATGAGGCACCGCCTACCCGCCTCCGTTCTCACGCGGAAGAGCTACATTAGTATCTTGACGGGTAGGGCGTGAGCGAAGAGAAGGGTTGTCGTGCAACTGAAAGGTAAGAACTTGCGGCTCGCCGGTAGCAGATGTTTTGTGAAGCAAGTTAATTGGATGCTGCCGGTAGAGCTGACTGGCGGCAGGTCAGTCCAGTTCCTCGCGCACGTCCGAAATAGGATCAAATTGGCGACGGCCAGAAACAACGTGCCGCCCAAAATCCAGGATCTGTCAGCCCGGTTCCTCGCGCACGTCTGAAATATGATCAAACTCGCGACGGCCAGAGACAACGTGCAGCCCAAAATCCAGGTCTTTGTAGGTGCTGTATGCTCTTCTCCGGTCCATCCTCATAGACAGCAAGGCGATAACGAACGTGCGAGAGGATCAGTGCATTGGCTGGAGTAGAGAGAAGGTCGGGTGGGGTCTGATCACGCACGTGGAATAGCCCGATAAGGATACCGTTGCACTTTTTGACGAGGCCAGACGCGTGAGAGTCTTAGGTGAGGTGCTTGTCGAACACTACGCCGAGGTTCCCCACAGTGGGGTCCTCATGTACTGCGGCTTCGCTGAGCTGAACAGTAATGGAGGTCATGCCTCGACAATTTTAACGGCAACCACAAACTATACGTTCATTTTCCCACTATTTACTTTCAGGTCGTGGGATGGAACCAGATGTCCAAAGACTCTAGTGTCTGTTCCACTGCAGCAGTGAGCTGCGGAAGAGAGTCTCTATTCCAGACATCAGAACTCGGGTATAATCAGAGTCCTAGACCTCGTGCGCGTCAGGGCCGAACAGGGACACGTCGATGACAAAGATCTGGAAGAGCAGTGGACCTAGCGAGGATCCTTGGAATACACCGATGGGAATGGACGGGGGCTTGGTAAGGTCAAGGCAAGGTAAGGTTGGTAAGGTGTCCGTTGCCACGCCCGTCAACAGTGCGAACAGATCGGGCATGTTCACGGACATAAGAGAAGAACCAGGTAGGATAGAAAGAATAGGGTTGAAGTGTGAGAAGAACGTTTGGGTGGTTGATCACGTAAAAACATTTGAAAAGATCCAGAACGCAGAGAAGGGTAAGCTCCTTGGCGGTGAGTGGCGGCAAGGATGTGGGGGGATACAGTAGGGAGTGCGGTTTCTGCGAAGAGACGGGAGCGACAACCGTACTGGAATGAGGAAAAGAGGTTATTTCCGGCGATGTAGGAGGAAAGCTGTCCATGCACCAACCTCTCGGTAAGCTTTGGGAAGGCAGGCACGATAGGAATAGATCTAAAATTTTAGTCATCTAATGGACTTCCGGATATGTGAATAGGATGTATTAAGCAATGTCTCCAGGAGTCAAAACATTCATAGGATGTTAGACAGGTGTTGAGAATTTGAGAGATGACACGGCTATTGGATTCGAAACACATCCTGGCTACTTTAACGCAAATACCGTCCGCCCTACAACTTCCTGAATTTTTCATAGGGAAGAGGACAGGACGGAGAGAGCTGATTTTGGAGAGAGTTGACGGAACTGAGGGTCCTTTAAATCCTGATTGCGCCCCTGCTAAAATACGAAAGCAACAGAAATGGAGGAGCAATGTTGCATACTTAACCGTTCGGGGACACGATCAAACGTAACAAAATGGCGCGTTGACGTCGCTCTTTCAGTCGGTAGAAAGCTGAGCCCGAGTAGACGAATAAAAAGAAAGTATTCCACATTGGAGTGCGAATTTCAAATGAAATAGCCACATTGAAGATAGTTCAGTGCAGTCCACAGCCCTGTCGTTCTTGAGACCTAAACCCTTCTAGTTCCTAAGCTGCACGCCCGCGAAGATGTGCAGTCTTATCGGGGAGACTATTTCAATGTCACCCAGGTATGCGTGCGACTGAAATAACGTCATTCAAATTCTGCCATTCCATTACCAATGCGGCGATCTAAGCCAAGAAAAAAATCGATATCGAGTTGTTCACATTCGGCGTTCATGAGCATGACTTCCAGATACAACGTCTCTCAACTGGCTCTCAATCGATGTTGTGCTAGGTGCCATGACGTGATCAAAGAATGACACATTGGGGAGAATATCTAATAAACAGAAATTGTGTTGTCTAGAACAGTTTACTCTTGAAAGTATACCAAGAGTCATAAGTGCGCGCATTTCATCAAGTCTGATGTCTACTGCAATATTTCCAAATCTGGAACACTCCCTGCGTTATGGAGACTTTGGGGGTTACAACTAGCGCCAATAATTGTTCACTGGTATAGTACAAGACAAAGATGATATGAAATGACAGGTTTTTACTAAACCGTTAAAGA